GCTAGTAGAATTTTCCAGATATCCGACTGGACAGTTGTTGAATCATTCCTATTTCACGTGTGTCCAGTTGATTCGATAAACAAAGTTTCTGTTATCAATCTCTCCCTCAACCCTGCCATAGCATTAGATTTTAAAACTGTCATCCTATCCCATCCTGTTGTATGGTTTTATGTGTATCACTTCCTGTCTTAGATTTTCTTTGGTACTACTTAGTTTTTGTGCTCTGTCACTTAAACATTTCACCTATCCTATTTTTACTGACACGCGATGGGACAAAAACGAAGCCTTGAAACTTAAAAATTACCCAGATAAATTAGTCAGGGAATATGTAGGGGAATGTAAAAATAAAAATTAAGTAATGATGGTAGTGATGGTGATGATGATAATAATAATAGCAGTAATAATAATATTAATGACGACATGTATGTGAGGTATGTGAAATATGCGCAAGACAACACCAACAATAAGGAATCTAAATCATCAGTAGTAATTCCATACAAGGAAGGAACCTCGGGAACCACCGTATGCAGAATTCTTAACAATGCTGGCAGGAATAAAAGTGACTGGCATTAAAACCAACCACAAACTCATATGGAAACAAGCTTTGTCGGTTAAAGAATCAATCCTGTGGAGCCAATAAGACAAAACAATTTAGTTTATGAGATACTCTGTCTGCAATGATTGTCAGGTCAAAGTAGTAGGACAGGTGTATTCAGACTAGCCTAGCATAACGACCTAGCAAAATCTGGATTGGTTGACTCGAATAAGATCTAGAGAAATCTAGAGAATAGTTCAGCTATAGCACTCACTACATGCAATTACACACACCCATTCAATAGGATGGATGGGATAGGAATACAGTTTTAAAATCTAATTTAATAGCAGGGTGGAGGAAGCTTTGTTTATCGAATCAACTGCAAATACATGTAGTAGGAATGATTCAACACCTGTCCATCCAGATATTTGGAAAATTCTACTACCCCAATGACGACAAATAGAAGGCAAAGAAAACTGTAAGACTCAAGTTTCGAAGTCGTGTGATTACAATTGATATGATTATGAACAATAATTTTTGTTCGAAAGCTTGTCATCCAATAAATAATAATACTGTTCACTGACTGTGTGATATATATCTAATAAACAAACTAATATGGAATTACCTAATACCACAGTGCTCAAGTTTTACGCATATATTAATACAGTCACCTTTATTTCCAACGGAGATATAAAGCCATATTCGAACACTGTATCGCGGTACGTTCAACGTTTGCGTTACATTTTTACGTGATTCGTTACATAAAATGTATCTTGTTGTAGTACTTGCACAAGTACTATACCACTTCCATACTTGTAACCACTAACTCTCATTTCTAATAGTTATGGTTAATCAAAGTAAAAAGCAACGAACCCAATCCCCTGTAAAACTGGTGTCTAATTTAACGTCCTTGATTGCTACATCAAGCTACACACCCCCAACAAACGGCTATAGTGAGTCACATAACTCACGTGTATGCCGTAAGCGTCGAGCCGAAACTGAGGATAAAACTGTACTGACAGCCAGTATTAGCACTACTCCTAAAAATTCGGTACCCCCTGCTCATACAGAATCCCACCCAAGACCTTATGTGCTTACCGAAAATCTCCAGCCATCAAGCTTCTTTCCACTACTTTCTTCAGAAATAGAACTTCTAAAGTTGTCTATAGGAGAACTTAAGGCTGAGTTAAGGGAAATAAAAAACAGCAAGTCAGTAAATGCTGGAAACATCGAAACCAATACCGAGATATCCAAATTATCAGATCAGATCAGCGATATCAGATCGCAGGTCTGTGAACTGACACCTCTAACTATCCTCATGAAAACGGTAAACCTTAACAAGCTTGACACAGAATCGGTAACTAAGGTAGATAACCTCATTAACTTTGTTACCACAGAAGTAACCAAACGACTCGACGCAAAACTGAGTGCTATTGTCTACAACGTTCCGGACAATGAGGCACTAAAAAAGGTACAGCGCATCCTACTTAGTGAGGCGAAAATGCCTAACTCCAAGACTAAGTGCTACAGGCTGAAGAAGAGTCAACATGAAAAGTGTTGTCCTATTCGTTTTCAGTTCGAAACACCGGCAGAGACCAGAAAATTCATTCACTCCCAACACACCCTATCGCAAGCCAGAAACTACAAACATATAAAGGTCGGGGTGGAAAAAACAGTTATAGAAAGGCGCGCACACAACTATCTCACTAAGACTAATTGTGAAATAGGTAATAGGACATTGCAAGCAGCCATTATTCCCAACCCTGTGAAAGATACAGTAGACCCCACCGCATCACCCCTCTCAAAACACACAGAAATATCCCATCAGAGTGCAACACCAGCCGAAAGGCCACTAGACTGTAACCAAATAAATAATAAAACCATACCACCCATTGTGGTGAGAGCAGGCTGCTAGCCGATTGGTTGGCACTAATCTACGTTAAGGTCTAGGTCACTAATATGGGCCGTGAGAAAATATGAACAAGGCTGAGTCAACAACCAATCACAGCAAAGTTAACGTGGCAAAATATGATTCGCAGATAGAGAACTCTATTTGTCAAGGAATCCCGAAACAACCAATCAGAAGCCTGCGTTTGTCTACCTAACTTCTGATAAACAACCAATCAGATGACTGCGCTTGTCTATAATAATGTAGTTGAAATATGTATAAATACGTGTTGATTTTCATAATAAAACGATCTGTTGCTTCGCCCTTGTCTTCTGTTGTTACATTTGGTGTCGCTGCCTCCAGAAAATGAAGATCCCGTGGCCAGCTGCGTTTGAAGAAGGAGACATAAGGAGCTTCTTACGTGACTTCGAGGCTGTTGCTGAGCTGGTGGGTGTCAAGGAGCAGGCAGCGAAGGCAGTTGTCTTGGGGACGCTGTTGAGAGGCCGAGCGAAGGCTGCATATGACAGCGTAGACAGGTCAAATGGCACAGCGTCTTGGAAGAAATTGGTTGAACGACTAGTGTCCGAGTTTGACAGCGAAACAGACAGACAGCTAGCAATGCAGCAGTTCCGGTCAATGAAGCTTGGACCTGATGGAGACCCGCTAGTGTTGGCGGTGAAACTGACTAATCTACTTCGACGCGCGCTTCCCACTTTAGATGAAGAATCAGAAGCGCAGTTACTGTCTTCCCAATTCATCGAGAGTGTCCCAGACCACATTTCTCAGCGATTACAACTGGTTAACGCAACGCAGCCGATGGATATTAGCGAGCTGGCGAAGGTGACCAGACAGCTGCTGAGCACAACGGTAGCCGCTATAGACCAACCAAAACCAAACGAATATGAGCAGAAAATTGAAGCATTGCAGCGGGAAGTGGCGGCGTTAAAGTTGGCTGATAGAAAAGACCGGTGTTTTGAATGCGGTAAGCCGGGACACTGGAGAAGATACTGCCCAGAAAGGCGAAAAAGAAAAAATTTCAGACGGTATAATGCTTGTTCTTTCTTTCGTATGAACCTAGATTTAGTGGGGGCTATTGAGAAAGGGCTCTGTATTCGAAGTTGCGAGTGAATGATCGAGAAGTAGTATGTTTGATAGATACAGGGGCGGCCGTGTCGTTAATAGATAAGAATTTATGTAAGAGTGTTAGCCCGTGTTCATTGACAGTACAAACAGTAGGCGGGTATGTGTTGCGTATCACGGGTAGATCGAACTGTACGGTCGTTGTTGGTGGCTGCGAGGTGACGTTTCCTTTCATTGTTGTACCCGAACTACAGCGAACGATATTAGGAGCGGATTTTCTGCGTGAGATTGGTGCCATAATCGACACGCAAGCGAACGTGGTGGTCACGAAATACGGGCATATCAACATGTATGAGACCAGCGAGATAGCAGCGATTAAGCTGCCGACGGTACACAATGTGACAGAGTTAATTAGTAAATACGATCATCTGTTCACTGGAGATGGCGACCCATACGGTTATTGCGATAAGGTGAATCATGAAATTCCGTTAAGTGATCCGAAAGTAAGGTCATTTACAACGCGAAGAGTTCCATGTCATCTGGAAGGCGAAGTGGAGCGACAAGTGCAAGAGATGTTAAAAGATGACATTATTGAGGAAGCTGATAGCCCGTACAACTCTCCAGTGCTGTTAGTAAAAAAAGCGAATGGGAAGTATAGATTCTGTGTTGATTTTCGACAGTTAAACAGTATGACAGAGTTAAGACCGTGTGCCATGCCAACAGTGGTAGAAACTTTAGATCGCCTACAAGGTGCGAATGTGTTTTCGGTTCTCGATCTTCGCTCAGGATACTGGCAGATACCGATAAAACAAGGTGATAGAGATAAGACGGCTTTCATCGTGGGTCAGACACAATATCGATTTAAACGCATGCCGTTTGGACTAGCAGGTGCACCGTTTACGTTCAGACGACTGATGAAGCTATTACTTAGGAACTTGAAAAACGTGGAGGTTTATGGTGATGATCTCGTCATATACAGTCAAAACGAAAACGATCACGTCAACCATGTAGAAGCCGTGCTGCGACGCATCGAAGAGTTTGGACTACGCGTCAACAAAACCAAGTCCCAGATAGCCAAAAAGAATGTTACTCTGTTGGGACATAAAGTGGGAAATGGTGAGATTAAACCACTGCCGGAGAAAATTTTGACGATTAAAACGATTCCAGCCCCGAATTCAAAGAGAAAACTGAGACAATTCTTGGGTAGAGCAGCGTTTTATAGCCGCTTCGTGAAGAACTTCAATGAGATAGCAGCCCCTCTATACAGGCTACTAGGTGAGCCAAAGTTTGTTTGGTCGGAAGAATCGCAGAGGACATTCGACAGAATTAAACAGCTGCTCGACCACCAACAAATGACGCTAAAACTACCTGTGCCAGGAAGACAGTTCACAGTGTGCACAGATGCCAGTGACTACGCTATAGGTGCGGTCCTAAGACAGGACGAGGGAATCGTTGAGTATGCCAGTAGGGTTTTGACACTCGCAGAGAGAAAGTATTCAACGATAGAGAAAGAATGTTTAGCAATGGTATGGGCAGTCGACAAATGGAGACCTTATTTACTCGGCCGGCGGTTCCACATCGAAACTGATCATAAGCCGCTACAATTTTTGAAGACAGCGAGAGACCCACGGGGGAAGTTGTCACGGTGGATGTTGCGTCTTCAGGAGTACGATTTTACGATCTCACACGTTCCTGGAAGTGAAAATGTCTTGGCAGATTTGTTATCGAGACCAGAAGATGAGTCTGAGTTGCCCGAGGTCGCTTACGGAGTGCATGCAGTAGAACAAGACCCACTAAGACTTGCACGTAGGCAGAGGTTGGACGATACGCTGAATACAGTAATACAGGTGATCACCAACGGAATAGAAGTGGATCAAACTACGGCGAGTAAGGAGCTAACCACACTACTCAGACAGAGGGATCGACTCAGAGTGAATGCCTACGGGACTCTGACCTGGCGAGAGAACGACGGAAGCTGGCTGGCTGTCATACCTCAATCGTCGCGCCACGACATGATAGAAGAATGTCACCAGCTAGCGCATACAGGCGTGGCCAGAACGACCGATCTCCTAAGACAAAGTATGTACTGGCCAGGTATGAGAGAAGACGTAGCAAGATACGTACTTGGATGTCCACGGTGCCAGCTGATGAAAGGTGACCGGTATATACGACCACCACTTCAGTCGATTCCAGTTACCGCGATAGGTGACTTGTGGTCCGTAGATGTCATGGGTCCATTTCCTCAGACATCCAATGGTAATCAGTACCTCTTGGTGATGACGGAACACGCGACACGATGGGTAGACGCCGTAGCAATCCCAGACCAACGTGCAAGAACCGTGACAGATGCAGTAGTTAGACACATTGTTGCAGACCACGGCGTACCGAAGACAATACTGACAGACCAAGGTCCCTGTTTCGAGAGTGAAGAGTTTACTTCCCGTTTGCAACAGCTGGGCATCAAGAGGATCAGAACGACCCCATACCATCCACAAACGAATGGCCTAACGGAGAGAAACAACCGTACACTGAAGGAGTGGCTGGCCTCGAAGGGCGGGAACTGGGAAACGGAGCTTCCACTGATTTTACTAACACATCGGGCTACCACTCAGGAAACAACGAAGAAGTCACCCTTCCAACTGATGTATGGTAGAAAACCACGATTACCGGTACACAATGAGACCTGGCCCATGCACCAAAAGTGGAGTACGACGAAATTAAAAGCAGAGAGGAAAGAGGCAGTCAAGAATGTAATACGGAAGCAGCGCAGTGATGTCATGAAGTCTCAGATGAAAGAAAGGACGCAGTGCATTACCTTTGCAGTCGGGGACCAAGTGAAGTGTAGAGACAGGAGATATACAGTTGGAGGCGGGCTAGGTTCACGGAAACTCCTTCCAAAGTGGGAAGGACCATACACAATCACAAAAAGACGGGGTCAAGTATATACCATCCGAAGAGGTGATAAACAGAAACGAGTTAACGCCAGTCAGCTCCAAAGATGGGTACAGTGGGACAAGCCGGTCAGTAACAATCCTCAACTAGAGGATGTAGCACCCAGAAGGTCGGAACGTCTGCGCACGAAGCTATTTGACGGGGGGACGAGTGTGGTGAGAGCAGGCTGCTAGCCGATTGGTTGGCACTAATCTACGTTAAGGTCTAGGTCACTAATATGGGCCGTGAGAAAATATGAACAAGGCTGAGTCAACAACCAATCACAGCAAAGTTAACGTGGCAAAATATGATTCGCAGATAGAGAACTCTATTTGTCAAGGAATCCCGAAACAACCAATCAGAAGCCTGCGTTTGTCTACCTAACTTCTGATAAACAACCAATCAGATGACTGCGCTTGTCTATAATAATGTAGTTGAAATATGTATAAATACGTGTTGATTTTCATAATAAAACGATCTGTTGCTTCGCCCTTGTCTTCTGTTGTTACACCATCACCGCAGAATCTAAAATGCCACTAAATAACCCCGGAAAAAAAGTTGAAACCCCCCGAAATTCGACTTTGTCCTCTCCTAGCTATAATTCCATTGGTAAAGATAAGGAAAATATGCCCCTAAATCATACCAACAAAAACAGTGGCAGCTTAAATAAGCCCACACTCCCCACGGTTAATAGTATTAGCACTCACAACGTGCTAAATCGCACCGTGGCACACACTAATATCCAATGTCACAACGATGTCACCCTAAATAGTACAAGTGGTAATAGTCAGAACTCGGCTACCAACAACTTAGGGTCTTCAGAGTATGGCACACAAACAAATTTCGACCGGATATATGGTACAAGTCTGCTGGGAACTAACCCACAATGCAGTACACACGAAACCCACACAAGGACACAACTGGCATCAAACAATAGGTGGAATAATAAGCCATGGTCATCACAAGGATCCAATCATTTTTTATCCCCCGCGTCCCTGTCAGCGTTGAAAAAACAGCTGGTAGGGATGTTAACACTCCTAAACCACTAGTGCTGGCTCCCTCCTTGCATGAAAACAGGAACGGTCTAGTGCACCCGTATCCATTGGACACACTTGACACTTGCACAAGTATAGGCCAAATAAAGAACCCTACCCACTTCTGTAATAATAATAATAATAATAATAATAATTTATTTTCATATAAACATAAATTTACATGAAAATGCATGCCATTTTTACAGGCACGATCAAGGATGATATAATGTCAAATCTTAAATTGTCTACAAGTTAATAATGTCTCAACAGTTAAATATTTGATATATATATAAATACACATTGTCTGAACTAGGCTGTATAGTTATTGAATTGTACAATTGTCCTCCAGGTTGAGCGGGAAAATCGACTTCGTTTCGTTTTCATCCCGTGGTTGTAGGCATACGATAATCAACCAATATTGAGGTAAGTACAACGTTTACAAGGAATTGGAAGCTTTTTTAGAAAAATTAAAGTGCTGTGGTGTAACATTAAAGTGTAATAGATTAAGTGAGTGAAATATATCATTAATAAACACATTTATATAGAAAACAGAATGGGGAAGTAATTAATCCTTAGGCCGACAACGTTCATTTGCAATGTATAATGAAACCAATATATTTTATACTATCATGCGTTCACTTTTGGCTTTAATACAATTATTTTCAAGCCAGTTGTCTTTATTTCATGTCTTTTTTTCTATTTGGTACACAACCGTACCCTCCAGAGAATAGGAATAGAATAAGTCGAATCAAATTCATAAAGAGCTATAAAATGTTAGGTTTAATGGAATATAATGAGAATCAAGTAAAGACGTTATTAGGAAATAAGTGAGACAAGATATTTTGAAGTGGTATTTAAAGATCTGACAATGGATAGCAAGTTAATTCATAAGATGCCCCATAAATCTGTGCAGATCCCACGTGGTCGCATCTCAACAATAGGCTGAGCGAATGGTATATATTTAAAGGTAGAAGCATTATCTGTCAAGGCGTTCACTATTATCTTTTTCAAGATAAAGATCTAAGCCCTCATAAAAATCAGAAATATCTCGAGCCTTTAATTTGTATATTGCTGTTCCTGCAGAATGGGGCGATTCACCTTAGTGACCACCACCATATCTACTGATCAGCTAACGCCACCCTCCCTCCTTTCATGTAACCTAACTAAAAACAAAAGTTCCTTAGTCTATAGCAAATCCAGTACTCCAACTCCTAATTCTGCACCGAAAACAGCACACAACAACTCGATAGACATAGGTGAGCATGATGCTGGAACTCCTCTTAACATAGGATCGTCATGTCCAGCAGAACTACTGGGTGCTGAACCATATTCGGGGCTGACTAACGAACTTAAATACTTCAAGTGCTACTTCAACTCTCATCTTTACGTAATCCTCATAAATGCTAGATCTGTTCTAAATAAATTGCCGATGCTCAGAGCACTCACAGTAATATACAAACCCCCTGTAATTGTCATCACTGAATCTTGGTGTCATTCGGACATCCTGGATGAAGAAATAAGCTTAGATAACTACACACACTTTCGGTGTGACAGGGAAGGTGGTAAGGGAGGGGGTTGTCTCATGTACTTTCTGAATGCACTTACTGTATCACAGCTAGAAAGTAGTACACTTAACATGCCTGAGACTCTATGGGTTAATGTACACTTAAATAACGTAACAGCATTAATTGGATGTACCTACAGAGCACCTGGCACCTTTGGTAATTACGAGACCCAACTTATAAATACTCTGGAGCAATTATCCGACTTACAATACGACCATAAGATCCTATGTGGGGACTTTAACTTACCTGAAATCAACTGGGATATACCCAGAGGCCCAACTAAATTTGATAAGTTCGTAGACACACTGGATATACTTGGCTGGAAACAAACTGTCACTACTCCCCACAAGAGGTGACAACGCACTGAACATAAATTGTGCCACAATATAAGCACCCTCTCAAACTTAGTGCGTACTATGTTTTCAAGTGGTGAACTTAAACAATGATGTCTGCACTGCCACTTCCGCTGAGTAGCAATGCATCTCATACCTCCACTTCACAACAAGTAATATATAGGAACTATAGTAAGGCAAACTGGGCCTTAGTTGAATCGATGCTAAGATCCTCCAAATGGGATGAATACTTCACTACTGATGACCTATCGAGAGCCCTAACCATCTTCTACCATAACTCAAACATATGCTTAGATGCTGTCATTCCACTCCAGACACTAAAGGTTTCCCCACACAGAAAGTCATTCATAAAACCAAAGGATGGTAAGAAACTGAAGAAACTCTCAACAAGTTACTTCAAACACCACGACTTTGGCACTCTAGGTCTAATACTTAAAACCCTTAGCTCCATCACACAAGCTCAAGATTTCCGTATGAGAAAGGAAGAACGCATCGCAGTAGCCAGCCCTGCTAGAGTGTATGCACTCACAGAAATCTTAAGGAAGCGAATGAATCGCAAAAATCACAGCATTTCTCTCCTCATAGACAAAGGTAGGCTTTGCACTAACTCTGCAGACATATGTGAACTATTCAACAAAACGTTTGCAGGTAACTACCTTAAGCCCTCAGTCCAGCTACCCGATATACACCCTATTACTATAATGGCACAAACTCCAACTCCACTCACACCAAACCAAGTTAGCACTGTTCAATTCACTTACGCTGATATTAACCAAACTATAAGAACCCTCAAAAGTTCAAAAGGTCTCGGTACCGACAGTATATCATCTTACTTCTATAAATATGGTGGCCCTGACATTCCTCTACTGCTGCTTAAAATATTCACAATGACCCTAGAAACCCAAACTTACCCTGACATATGGAAGACTACATTCATTATGCCTAAACACAAATCTGGCTCGAAAACAGAAGTCAGTAACTACCGGCCAATCAATATCACACATATAGCATCTAGAATCATGGAGAGACTAGTCAAAGTTAACTTAATCAAACATATGCTTAGCTGCAACATCATAAGTCCGAACCAACATGGATTCCTGAAATCCAGATCATGTTTAACATGTCACCTAGACTTCTTCAATTTTGTAACCAGCAGTCGTGACAGACGGCAACTAGTACTTGTCATCTACTTTGACATTTCTAAGGCATTTGACCGTGTTGACCATTTACTGCTAACAAATAAACTGAACTCCTTAGGAATACGTGACCCATTATTAGGATGGCTTAAATCATTCCTTAACAATAGGTCCCAAATAGTTAAACTCGGGTCTGCAACCTCCAAACCTAGCCCTATCACTTCTGGTGTAGTACAAGGTAGTGTCATTGGACCCCTCCTATTTACACTATACATCAATGACATATGCGCTTGCTTCACGCACGGGAAACCATTCATCTTTGCAGATGACCTAAA